TTTTTTCATGTGCCTATTGGCCATTCGTATGGAAGACTGTTGAATTCTTTATGCATCTTATTTTTATGGAACTGGAAACCAATTGATTAGGTATTTCCTAATCAATATTGTTTTCCAAAGTTTTTAGCATTCCTAAGTGGGGACGGAAAACTGCTCTTCTTACCATTAATTTATGAAGTTTTGGAGAAAAATACTTGAGTTTCATGTATCATTAACACTTAACACATTTCTTTTGTTCTATTTAGGTGTAATTCATGAGAGCCACACTACAACACATTTATTAAATAAAAACTCTTAAGACCCTAGACCAAATGAACCTAATAAATGCATGTAGAATATTCTACCCAATAATAGCAGAATGCACATTTTTTCAAGCACCGTAACACTGTGATTTATAATAAGAAATATATATTTGGTCCATTCCTAGTATAGAGCTCCTAAAATTCTTGTAATTTCTTAATCAGTGAGAACAATGGGAACATCTTTTGTTATAGTATTTGGTCTTTTATTCTCAGTTCCTGTAAGCTTTGGAATAATACAGATGAAAGTAATGTCTTTTGTTATTTATAACAAGTCCCTTTCAACTATATCTGAGTTTATGTTAATGAGGTGATTTTTGGAAAGCCCCTAGATAACCACAGGATATAGGGCTGGTTGCCAGGAGCACTAATTACATGGTTAATTAAGGGGTTGTAACTTCTGAGATCTACCATCAACCTCCACAGAGGGGAGAGAAGCTGAAGGTTTAGTTTAACCAATTGCCAACGATAATCAGTCATGCCTGCATAATGAAGCCTCCGTAAAAATCCTAAACTATGAGATTGAAGAGTGCTTCCAGGTTGGTGAACATACAGAGGTACTGAGAGAGGGCACAGAAGCTTGATGCCCATTCCCCATACACCTTGCCCTGTGCATCTTTTCCATCAGGCTGTCCCCAAGTTGTATCATTTTATAATAGACTGGTAATCTAGTAAGTAAACTGTTTTCCTGAGTTCTATGAACTTTTCTATATCTGGTTGGTCAGAAGCACAGGTGACAACCTGAACTGGAATCTAAGGTTGAGGGTAGCAGGAAGCAGCACAGTCCTAAGGGACTAAGCCCTTAACCTGTGATCTTCTAACTCAGGTAGATAATTTCAGAACTGAATTAAATTGTAGGACACTCAGTTGATGTCCAAAGAGAACCTGAGAATTAGTTGGTGTAGGAAAAACCTACAAATTTGGTGGCCAGAAGTGAAGTATTTATAGTAGTTTTGAGAGGAGACACAGGGTTGTTTTTTTACAAACAAACATGAAGCATTCTCTAGGGTAGATCACATGCAAGATCACAAAAAAAGTCTTACAAATTAAGCAGATTGAAGTTATTCCTTTCTGACCACAAGGAATATAACCAAAAATCAGTAACAAAAGGAAACCAGGAAAACACACAAATGCATGGAAATTAAACAACACACTCTTGAATAACCATTGGGTCAAAGACAAAAACAAAAGGGAAATTAGAAAATTTCTCAAGACAAACTAAAAAGAAAACACTAAAATGTTGTATATCTAAACTTATGTGATAAAGCAAAAGCAGTATTAAGAGGGAAGTTTATAGTGATAAATCCTATGTTAGAAAAAAAGAGCATCAAACAACCTAACTTTATACCTCAGGGAACTACACAATGAAGAACAAACTAAGCCCAAAGTTAGCAGAAGAAAGAAAATAATGAAGATTAGGCAAAAATAAATGAAGTAGAGAATAGAAAAAAAAATCAAGAAAACTAAGAGTTGGCTTTTGAAAAGATAACAGAAGTTTCTTGAAAATCAACAAATCTTTGGCTAGACTAAGAAAAAGAGAAGACTGAAATAAAATCGTAAATGAAAGAAGACATCACAACAGATACCACAGGAAAAAAATCATAAAGGACTATTAGAACTATATACCAACAAATTGGACAACATAGAAGATATTGGTTAATTCCTAGAAACATACAATCTACTAAGAATGAGTCAAGAGGAAATAGAAAGCCTGAACAGACCAATAACAATAAGAGATTGAATCAGTAATCCAAAATCTCCCAACCAAAAAGCCTAGGTCCAGAGAGCTTCATGTGTGATTTTTACCAAAACTTTAAAGAAGAATTAATACCAATCCTTCTTAAACTTCCAAAAGATAGGAAAACAGGGAATA